GGTGGGGCTGTGACAGGGGGTAGGAGGGGCTGTGACAGGGGGTAGGGGGGTGGAGAGGCATAGACAGGGAGTAGGGAGGATGGAGGGACAGTAACAGGGGGTAGGGGGGGATGGAGGGGCAGTAACAAGGGGTTGGGTGGTGGGAGGGGCAGTAACAGGGGGTGGGCGGATGAATTCAAAAGGGTATGGTTGATGTAACTATCTGGTTACAAGACATCTTTCTCCTCTTTTTTGTTTTTTATTCATTTATGCAACCATAATTCAATGTGATTTCAGTCAATTAAAACATTGAAAAATACTTCGTAACAGGGGGTGGGGGGGAATAGAGGAGCAGTAACAGGGGGTAAGGGGGTAATAACAGGGGGTAGGGGGATGGAGGGGCAGTGACAGGGTTAGGAGGGGTAGTAACAAGGAGTAGGGGGATGGAGCGGCAGTGGCAGGGGGTAGGTGGGATGGAGGGGCAGTAACAGGGGTAAGGGGGGTAGTAACAGGGGATAGGGGAGTAGTAACGGGGGTAGTACAATGATGTCATCAACATACTATAGCGGAGCACAGAAGTACAGCCACAGTAATTCCATAGTTGTGTGTAGAATTCACTTTGAATACTGCACACAAATAACCAGTTTGGACCCAGAAGACTAATGAAATATATGCATTATTGTGCTGGAAATGGGTTAAATAAATAGCCGTAGATAGCCCATGAAGCCAACAAAAAAAATCATTCATAGCTTATTTCCAGCTGTTTTATGATCTGTAATGCCAAATACACAAGATTTGAATTTCAAAGTGGTTATTTTTTTTATTGCAGGTAAACACTTATCGATGAGATCACTGAATATAGGGAAATAAGCACTGATAGGTAAGAGACCAATTCCCCAAAAGATCAGACACTCATTTACTGTAAGTAAATTGTTTGAACTCCACACCACAAGAAGCAGGGCTCTGACAGTCTCCTGTTCTGTTGCTAAATATTAATTTATATTGCAAAGTTTGCACAAAAAACAACCTAGACCAAATAAAGTAATAACATAATGACCGACATAAATTACAAGGTGGATTAGAACAATTTTGGGACTTTATTCTTATTTTGCAATATACCCTATGTAGTGGAACCTTTAGCATTCTACAGATCCCGCAGTATAGATGCATGGAATGTTAATGAGGAGATTCAAGGAAGATAGATGTAGAAAAAAAACAAAACAAAAGAAAAGGATCAGACCACAAAAGAGGAGAAGAAAGAGAAAAAGGGGTTTAGGTCAAATTACACATCATACATAGATTATACCCTTATAGGCAAAAAAATGCTCCCATTTGAAGTGTCTATATTTAGTATGAATACAAAAAAAAAACCTGAAACGTTGTGCTGTAGATTTGTGAAAATGCTGCTCTAACTTTATATAGTTTACTATCAACCTTATAAAATATTTACTGTAATTAATCTGATAATTTCTTTATTTTTATTTTTAGCGTAGTATTATTTAATTCTTCATTAAACTGCATTGAGAAAGGAAATCAAATGCAGCATTCAAAAACACTGGTTTGCAAAGCAGTCACGCTTAAGAGCATACAAAATGCACTTTTATTCAATGGGAAATAGAGAAACGTCAACAGGCAGCTTGGCTGATGGTAGGCTACAAGTACTGGTGGAGGGTTAGTTCAGCAATTGTAGCCTATTATTGACATTAAAATATTGGCGGCTGTCGTGGATGTCCACTTTTACATTAGCCAAGCTGTAGCAAAGGGGAAGGGCCTTAGATATCAGGAGAGTTTGGCTTACATCAAACTTTTTGAAGAAAATCTTTTGCCTAAATATTACAATACAGTTTTAAAGTTACTGCAAATGTTGGGGAGGCGGAGTCTAACTGCTGAGTCGTGCGGCCGCAACTGACACGAGCTCCGGCCAAACGGAGAGAACCTGGAGGAAAAAATGGTGGCTACCAAGCCCAAACTCCCCCGATGGTGCACCAACCACGTCGGGGGTGGCCCAACAGAACCCAACGACACCACCCCAGGGTCTGTCAGAGCCGGGACAGCAGAGATCCGAATGCGGCCTATTGGGACTAAAGCGGGGCAGAGGCGGCCGCTCTCCTCAGCACAAGAACCCACAAGCGACCTCATCTCAGCCAACCCCCCCTTCCCTCCACTGGCACTGTGGGGGATATCCCGGTCCCCACAGGACACACAGACCTGAAGGGACAACTAGCAGCCCAGCTATAGACAAAGGCAGTGCAACAGACCCAACAAGGTCAGCCAAAATGGCCGCCCAGCTCCTTGACGGCAGAGCACCCGCAACTATAGAAATCTTTGACTGTCTATGCGCAGGCCTCAGGGAAGCTCTACTCAGCCGAGGGGCAACTCACCACCAAGCTGAACTAATGGTGGCCTCGTGGATACCACGCCACCTCACAGGTGCTCCACTGGTCTAGACTGTTCCGAGACTTGGCACCAGCAGAACACCCAAATTTGATAACACCCCCCAGGCCATTGCGGACTTGCCATGACAACGCTACATATGAAGAAAAGAGCTCCTGTTGGTTTAAGGTTCAGTTAACCATGAATAGATCTCAGTGGTCTACCTCACAATATATAGTTCACACTTGCAAAACATGAAACCTTACATGTCTAGATAACCTAGCGATGTAACCTTCAGCTAAGTGATAGATCTAGCTAAACCCTGCAAAGCACAAACCTTGCAGGTCTAGATAACCCTGCGATGTTAATTTCAGTTATGTGACAATTCTTGCTAAAACCCTGCAAAGCCTACACCTTGCATGTCTAGATAACCCTGGGATGTTATTTTTAGCTAGGGAACAGATCTAGCTACACCATGCAAAGCATAAACCTTACATATCCGTATAACTCAGCAATGTTAATTTCGGATAAGTGACAGAACTAGCGAGAAGACCCTTTATTGTTTATTCATCAATCTACCCTTACAGATAAAATTTGTGCTTGATTTCACATGTACCTCTATGTTCAAATGTCAATACCGCGTTGGAGGAATGCCTTTGGGGTACCTCACAACTGTTTGTTATTAGCTTATGCACTCCAAAAATAAAGAATAAAAAAAAAGTTACTGCAAATGTTTAGTGAATAAATCTCAAAACAATCCCAGATATTGAATGAAAAGCATTGGCTATGGGGACAGGAAAACCTGCATATTTGATGTGCTAGTTGTTATGCTAAAGCTAGAAATAATTTAATCTATATAGCAATTTTAAACGTCATGTTTGTTTCAACAAGTGGTTAAAGCTTGTCAACTGTACAGCACAACAGAAAATATGTAAGTTAAGTAAACAAACTAAAAATAATAATAGGTAAGCTTATGGAAATAGTGATCCATATACTTTCTTTAATATGAAGCTGGTTCATTTTATTGGTCTGCATAGCTACAGTATCATTACATACATACATGTTAAGCTATGAATACCTTCTATGTCTGGTAAACAAAACAAGTGGTTATCCCAGCATAACCTAGCTGCTGTCAATGTAATCTACCCACACAGATACTGTCTTGCTTCATGCAGTCATCTGGTTTGTGCTTATCTAATCAGGGTTGGAATGTTGTGCAACACAGCTATAAGATTGGGACAAACTGAGTTGAATATAGTACAAGCGTGTATATTTTCTCCAGAATCTGACTGTTCTAATCAAACTGTAAGAATTTATGAACAAAATATTAAGTAAATAAATATAATCTGTTTTATACCCAGCTATAACCTAGCTCCTTTACTACAGGCTGTTTTGTATTTTTGGGGAAAAGTTTAATTTTTACATTTTTGGAATGTCTTCTCTAATTTATCTGGTACTTATATAGCGCACAAACTGGTAGTTTTGGAGTATACCACAGATTGTGGAAGATATTTGCATAGAACCACAAACAAAGTTTGGGATACGGCTGTATAATCTATGGAGAGAACATACAAAAAAACAAAATAGTATAATACAGTATATACAGTGGATCGTGCGCTTTAAATGAATGCACTCACAAGATTCATTTAAAGCGCACGATCCACTGTATATACTGTATTACACTATTTTGTTTTTTTGTATGTTCTCTCCATAGATTATACAGCCGTAACCCAAAATTTGTTTGTGGTTCTATGCATATGTAAAGATCGTTTGTTGTGGATAACGATCTTGGGAGGCTGCATACTAATCGAAGTTAAGTAACTTACACTATCAGAGCACTGAGTTTGTGGTGTTTATGTTTGTTTTGTTGTGGAAGACATTTGTCTGCCGCAATATTTAAAAGGAAAAGGTCACTTCTCTAAAAATTATACCTTTGAAAACAAGAATTCTGAGGGGATTCTATGGCACCTAATCCCAAAGCCTCTGAGTTTATAATGAGAAATCCTCTTCATCCACACATATAGTTATACGCTGTAGGTGCTGCGCTACACCAACCATTTGACATATCTGCCCCATAATCCTCAATTTACACTCATTGTATATACTATATCTGTAATCAGATGGCAACGCTAATGGAAAACAGGTGTGAAAATGTATATTACAGGGCTGCCTTATAAGAGCAACTGGGTCACCTTTATTTTTTACATTCAATAGCAATGAGCAAGATCCTATTGTATAGGCCAATCCTACCCACCATCAAGTGGCCAATCACAACTGTGTATAGAGAAACATGCCACTAGATCAACAAAATCTCAAGTTTACTGTCAGCCACCCAAGCACAAAAGGGTAGCATGGTAACACATATCTATTCTGGCAAGAAGCATGCAAATGTCAACCCATCCTTTTCTTTTCTTCAATACCATGCCATTGGACTGGACTAGTGCACCTCACACTGCATTACAACAGAATGATGGCGGAGTGAGGTTGCAGCCCAAACTATCTTTCCTGACCCCGTGATGTACCTCCCCTGCCTGCCACACACTTCTAAATCTAGACAGCGGCCCAGAACAAGTGACCACATTAAGCATTCAAATTAAGCTATGATATATAAAATTACAAGAGGATTAAAATAATGTATAAAAGACTGGCAACACTGGGCAAAACAAATTTGCTTAAGTTTACAGATCAATTACCATCAGAGCCTTCAATTTTTCTTAGTATCTCCAGGCTTCCTCATCTGTAAGAGCTTGTATCATTTTCCACCTCAATTGTATTCACATATACACAAAAATCTTCATAGGTGCCTATTAAGAGGAGATAACTCAATTGTTCAACATACACACTGGGTGTTCCTCATGTGCTGCTTTTCAGAACAACCTGCAGTCACAGTTCCGGATGTAATCTGCTTTTTTTTTGTTTTATTAAAAACAAAATTAAAATGAAAAACCCAAGTCACGTAAAAATCAAATAGGAAAAGTAGGATGACAAACAACCTTCAATAAAACATTCTCTAGGGATAGTCTAAGCTATTTAACTTTTTCATCACAATGAAGTGGCTATAGTGCCTGGAGTCGCCTGGTGGAATTTTCAATTTCAAAATGTTTTTAATGGTTGAATGCAAGAGTCTCCAACAACCTGTCGCTTCTGTTCTGCTCAGGATAATGAGAAAGCTATACCATGAGCAACAATAAGCAATGGTGATTGAGAGTGTCAGCTGACTGATTTCAGCCTATCACAGCTGTCTATACCTGATATGAGTTACTTTGGTTAAGGAAGAGTATATTCTCTGGCTATACCTTCTGTGGGGGCTGGGCTGTGGGTTGCCAGGGATCCTTATTCATTGTTAATATTTTTTGAATGAAGGGACAGTGATAAGAGACTCCAGGCGCTATTACCAATTCAACTAATATGAACAAAGTCCAAAGGATTGTACCGCTGTACGCTATCCACACTAGAGCTAGTTTAGCTCGACTACACGTGAGTAGGACTACCATAGATCTCTTCTTCCTGCTATCCAACCTTTTTACTAGACATATTTGCACCATTATCTTCTTCTCTCTTTACATACGAATCCTGGAAAGCTGTCTCCATTTGATCCACACAGAGAATATCCCTCTACATAGGCCGTTGATGCCCCATCAGGCTCCACTAAAGAGTTTGTTTGAATATTACTTTGGACTTGGTTTGAATATTACTTTGGACTTTGTTCATATTAGCTGGACTACAGCCAGCTTTGGCGCAACCTTCATTTGTCTTGTTTTGTGTATTACCTTTGTCTATAGGGCTAAGAGTGAGTCTTATCCCAAGGTTTGCTGCCTTCTACTTTCAATAATTATAGTATTGGTTTATTTTAGCTCTGTTCCCTTTATTTTGTACATTCCCATTTGCTATAACCAATTCAGTGATATGAAATGGTTATAGTACCTACCGTGTCCCTTAGAGTAAAGAGAGGAAAGCAAACAAAAGAATATGCAGGAAAAAGTAAAATTCACATCCATCACCATGGAACCAGAGTGTTGGAAGATCTACAAATATATAAATAAAATGAGAAGGCATGTAATATTGAAAAAGGCTAGAGAGGTAACTCACCAGGCTGGGTATATAAACTGACTTTTATATGTTAACTTCTCAATATGCTAGTTAATGTGCTTTATTTGTATTAACCCTTTCTCTGTGTGTTGCAAATTTTCTTTGGTCTAAGATGACATGTCACTGGCTGTGAGTCGCTGCCAAGGGCTCCAAAATTTCAAAAAGATAATATATTTCCTGTCTCTGTGTTGTGTATTGCTGGCATGAACTGCAGACAAGCTAGCCAGGTGTAGAGGAAAACTGCAGAATAAAATGGCATTAGACAACTAATATATATGGGTTAAAATGATGCAATGCTGTGAAAATTTGCCAGACTGAAAACTCTACCTAAAAGTTTCCTTTGTGCATTGCAAAGCAAGCGGAATATGACAATATAAAACATATCTGGTGAATGGTTATTTGACTAACACAAACACAGTATTTTTTTCTTTGTTTCTTTGGATACTAGAGACAAAGTATCACTATTTAACTTTTGTCAAGTCAAAGGAGCCCTATAGAGTTAGAAACATCCCCCCCCCCCCTTCCCCCCACCACCACCTTTGCTAAACCCCTCCCCCTAGAGATGTAAAGGGTTAAAAAAAAAGTTTTCACTTACCTGATTCCAACGCTGTTGTCCCTTGGTTCTGGGTCGGGCTTCTTCTCCCACATAATCAGCCAATGGTAGAACCTAATGTATATATGGGTTTAGAAGAGGTTAAACATGTCAAACTATTGCTTTATGTAAGGGTATAGCTGTGTTATCAATCTATACAGTTTCTGTCTATTAGATTATGTAGGGCATAAACAGGTCAAGTTCACTTCTATGTTATCAGACTTGAGTTAATCAAATATCTGCAGTTTTTTTTACAGGAACTGTTATTTTGCAGATAGTGGCATATTATCATAACTAACTAAATGTTAGTTTTTAGTTGTGCATATTTTTTATAACACAAAACTTTTTTTTATTTTTGTGTGCGCATGTATTCCATTTGCAATAAATGCAAGGTCAGCCTTGGACACAATGCAATTAAGTATTCTTCTATTAAAACCGTGCAAAACCTCACAGGAAAATGATACCCCGAGTGCAATTGGGGAGAAATCTGCTATAATCATCCAGAAATGCAGCAAATATCTATATTTAAGAAATTTGCCTCAATATTGATGTAGCTACTGTCATCTACACAGGGAGAGGTACACAATTCTAAGCTGTTTGATATGCTCTTTCAATTGTTTATCATAAATAGGACAATTAAACTCACAGACATAGATACACATTCTTCTTTACCTATGTTTGAAAAACAATAAAACTTTTAAATCTAAAATTTTTTTTAAAAAAGATACACATTCTTAGATATATGCACACAGATATACTCTCCCAGCACATTCTCATAGTTATATTCCCAAACAAACACTGTGACACATATTTACAAACACACATAAATACACACTGCTAGACACATGCAAATATTCACACACAGATATACACCGTTAAACATACGTTTTCAAGGCATTTTGTGCCATGAACACATACACATACAAATACACATTGCAACACATATACATACTCATGCAGACACTCACACAGATACAAATTGCCACACAGATGCAGAGTGCCATACACAGACACAATGATACACAGATACATTTCTACACATACAGAATGACAAACACAAAGTCATATTTTTTGTTTGCATATTTATTTATCCCTCCGGGAGGCATAGCCAACCTAACAAAGCTAGTGGGTATGTGGCAGTCTCCTGGATAAATATTTTGCCGTGCTAGAAAACGCTTGTGCTGTACTCTCACATAGCATCAGCGTTTTTCAGCCAGTCAGGTTATTAGGACAGCCGTTTAGCATGCGGCAGCCCTGATCACCTCACTTTAAAATGGCAACGTTGATGGAGGACTCTACATCTATGTCTGCCACATATATGGTGGATGTCTCTGCAAGAGACAGCCCCATCAACATTAGAAAGCTTCATAAGAGAGCTTTCCTTGGGAGGGACCTATCTTTTTACTTCTGAGGAGGATATGGTCCCAGTCTAATCCTGTAAAAGAGATAAGAAGGGTTGTCTTTTCTGCTGAGGAACATGAATTTGGTCCCTCTTTTCCTAGATCTCATTTGAGTAGTCGACAAATTAAAGGGACAGTACATCCTAAAACTAAATATGTGTTTCCCTCATTTGAGGTTTCTAAGTACATTTTACAGAAAAGGAAAAAGACCCGTTTGAGTGCAGTCAGTCCCTCACCATCCTCCTCAAGAGTGTTTTCTCATTCATCCTCCCTAAACCGCTCCTGGTCCAGCCAGGGATCACCTGAGATTGATTGGGAGTCGGAGGTGGTTCGCTCTGCAGCTTCCACTGAACGAAGGAAGTTGAGCAACATTCATATGGCCAGGGTGCGCCTGTTAGGTAAAGTTATCCCATCAAAAACTAACACACTCACTGACAGTAACACACTCAATAACAGACACACACAAACTAACACACAACTAACACACTCAGTAACAGACACACACACAAACTAACACACACACTGACACACACACTAACACACATACACACTCACATTTTTTTTTTATTTAATCCCCCAGCCTCCTTACCTTTGAGAGTGCTGAGGGGATTCCAGATTTCGCTGGGGTCCAGTGGGAATGCTGGCGTCCGGTCCTGTTCAATTCCCTCGGGCGCCGCTTACTGATGCCGGAGCCAGAGTGACGTCATATTCTGGCTCCGGCATCACTGTGGTGCGCGCGAGGGAGCTGGGAGGAGAGCACTCAGGGGAGAATGCTCCCTCACGCGCTCACCTGGTGACACACTGCCAGCCTCGGGGGGTCCTGAGATGGCCATCTCCTGGGCCCCCCAGCCCCCAAGAGAAGAGGCTGGCAAACTGGCTTACATACCAGGGCGGCCGAGCCCCCTGGTGGGCCGTGCCCGGTCGCAGCTGCGACCCCTGCAACGGCGGTATGTACACCAGTGTCTAGCACTATTATCTATTACTGGAAGCAGTGTTTCTGCGGATTGCATGAATCATACGCTTCGCAATATCCAATTTAAGATTGTGGATGCTGTTGGCCCACTTTTACTTATGTTTGATAAGGCAGAGAGAAGGATCCTCTCATATCCATTCTCTACCAACTTTATTGGCTTCTAAGATGGCACTCTTGAAAGCTTCCAGCAGAGCTGTGCTTATATTGGACAATCCTTTAATTATATTTCGAACATTTGCAGAACCTATTGGCTGCATGCTTCTGGTATGTCTGATCTGACCCCTAAGTCACACAAGTTTCTTAAATTGGAAGATTCTATTTGGCCCTTCTTTTATACAAGAGGTAGAAGGCCGATTTAAGGCTAGGCGATCTTTCTCTGAATTAAAGAAGGGCTTCCCAGGTTACATGATGCCCTTTCCGACCGAGGATCGCTATTACAGGGCTTCACGATCTTCCCGTGAATAATCTCAACAAGCCCACTTTCATCATCATGGTGGAAAGTCAAGACCCTCAGGCAGTAGCAGAGGAGCTCATGCCAGAGGTGGTTCATCCAGAAAAAGAAGACCCATGCAGTCAAGTAAGTGGTTTGGCTCACATCCCTCAAATTTGGTCAGATATAACCTCAGACTAATGAGTGCTTCAGATTTTCAAAAGAGGTTTACAACTCCCTCTTATTCGGTTTCCATTCCGGAGCCAGAGTTCCAGAGAGGTGAATCCAGTTCTAGAGTCCTCTCTTTCGACTTGGGATGTTGATCTTTTATTAATGTACCTTTATTATTATTATTATTATTATTATTGGTATTTATAAAGCTCCAGCATATTCCATAGTGCTTTACAATATTATCAAAGTGGGAGATTTAACAGTAAATGAGACAATTACAAACACTTACAGGAACAATAGATTGAAGAGGGCCCTGCACAAACGAGTTTACAGTCTATAGGAGGTGGGGCGTAAAACCTAACAGAAAAGGAGGTAGCAATCAAACAAGGTGGAGTGAAGCAGAGCTGGAGGAGAGAATAGAGTGCTGCCCTTTAGGAGAGAGCAAGGGACAGGTATGTGAAGTAAAGGTTACTCTGGGAGGCCTTTAGCTTTCCTAAATAGATGGGTTTTGAGTCACTTTTTAAATTATTGTAGACTAGGGAAGAACTTGATAGGGGATGGTGGGGGATTTTTTCAGAATTTGGGTATCTTTCTATTAAGCTTTTTTTTTCTACTTTGCTAATAATTTGTTTGTTTTTGCAGAATACAACTACCTGCCCAGACAGGATCATCAAGCCATGGACCCTCCTAAATAGATGTTCTGGAGCTTAAAGGACCACTATAGGCACCCAGACAACTTCAGCTCAATGAAGTGGTCTGGGTGCCAGGTCCCTCTAGTTTTAAGAGTAAGTGGTTCTGGTATACCTAGTGTAACACACAGAGGAGAGGAAGTCTGACTAACACTGGGCTGCTCAAACTGGAAACAGATAGGGATTCACTAAAACCTATAGGAAAAAATAGCAAAGGGGACACTAGTGTGCAAATACCAGGAGCTGACCTGTGATATTGGCTCAAATATGGTGGTCTAAAAGGTGAATAGTACAATATGACAACGGCAATGCAGTGCAGGATGGGTATCAAATATATGTACTGTGCCTTTAAAAAATGGAAAAGGGGAATAAGAAATATAAAAGCAAATAGGAAATACTAAGGAATATAAAAGGAAGGAATACAAAGAGATAAAAAGAGTAAGGATAATTTGGGAGATAAAAATGCAACAGATAAAAGCAGAAACGGAAAATGAAAATAAAAAGTAATAAATAGGAATAAAAATGTGCAGCAAGTATGTGTGCAGTGCAAGTGTCTCTATCCCTGATCCAAAGTAGCGTAGCTGATACTTGCTCCAAATTATATACTTTGTATATTACAAAGATAAAATTAAAGTAGAAATATATATAATGTAGCAATACAGTATAGAGGACTGTTTGCTATGGTAATACCAGCAGTGTATCACCTAAGATAGGAAGCAATGGTACAAACTGGATGTAAATTACAAAAAAACAGTTAATTGAACAAAATGTTAAAAATATATATCAGGAATAGTTCATACAGATGTTACCAGTCTTATGAAAGTCTGAAGTGTGCAAGGACCTTCGGATTTGGCTAGGATTGATGTGGACTGTATTGACAAGCTGCCGCTTGGGATTAGACCGCCAGTGAGGATGGCGTGATTCTGGGTGTGTATCAAAGATCTCACTCCGGGGGACGTGCACTGCAGACGGTTCTGTTTCGCAAGTGTACCAAGGGTCCTGAACGGATACAAACTTCTGCTGGCGTATGCTTTGCTGAATCTGTGTCCCTCTAGTTTTAACCCTGCAGCTGAAAACATGCTGCACATTCGGATCGGACGTCGGCAGGGGGAGGAGAGGTCATAAGCGCCGAGGGAGCCCGGCGCTGGAGAAAGGTAAGTGGCTGAAGGGGTTTTAACCCCTTCAGCCCAGCGGGAGCAGGGCCCTGAGGGTGGAACCTAATGACCCTATAGTGCAAGGAAAACGGGTTTGTTTTCCTGGAATTATAGTGGTCCTTTAAGACAGATCTTTCAGAAGTTTTGTTGAGATATTCCCAGATTTATCACAGAGGCATTTTGTCTTTTCATCTTTTTCATCAATGATTGTTTTGTTACATTTCACATGTTACTATTTCATGTCCGTTCTAGGGATGTTTTTTCTTTATCGTTACTTTATTATAATGTGCTTTTACAGTGTTCCTATAATCCTTACCTGAGTGTATTTCTGTTATTGTTTGGGAAATTAAAATATTGTTACCCCCTTTGTATTAGCAGTGTTGTCTCTTTTTTTTCTTTCTTTTTTAATATATATATAGTAATTTATGTGTTTTTACAGGTCTAGATGTAGTTATGGCTATGGTTGGAAGACTGGTACATTGTATTGATCTCTATCCTTCATTAAGGGGTTTTGTATGAGTTAACCATCTGCAATATCCCACTTTTAAAATCTGAGGTGATCAGGGCTGCTGCGTGCTAAATGGCTGTCCTGGTCACCTGACTGGCTGAAAAATGCTGATGCTGTGCGAGAGCACAGCATGAAAGTTTTTTAGTGCGGCAAAATATTTATCCAGGAGACTGCCTAGCTTTGCTAGGTGGTTATGTGCATCCTTAGGACAAAGAAAGTTTGCAGATCACAGATTCCTGCAAACTGTTGTGTGCAAAAGGATGTTTTTTCTAGGGTTCAGCTCCTGTCTGACCTACATGGCTCAGTGTTCAACTCCCTTCCTGCCAGCGCAATGCTGCCATGCATGGGATCAATTAGTCAGGCTGCTCAGTTCAGAGGCTGGTGAGGCTGCTAAATGCAGTTCAGTTTGGGGACATATTCTTATCTGCCGAACCAGACTGCTAAAGGGCCCCATGTGTACCCCAGCATTCTACTTGACTGCTGAGCTCAGTAAATATATAAAAAGAAGTTCATGAACTGGAGGAGTATGTCAAAGAGGGAGAGATGATATATTGGAGTATGTAACATCTTGAAAGAGTGGGACAGAAACATAAATGAAAATTTATAAAATGGGCCTGTATAAAACGGGCAAAACAGAAGCCTTGGGAGGTTGTTTAAAGGAACACTCCAAGCACCATAACCACTACAGTGTTATGTAGTGGTTATGGTGCAAAGAATACCTTTCCCATGTTGAAATAAGCCCTTCAGTGCAGAGTTGACCCATTGGTCTAGACCAGCAGTTCCCAAACTGTGTGCCGGGCGCCCCAGGACGTGCACACAGGGGAGCCACAAGTTATTTTCCCGGTGCTATGATTATACCCCCCCATACACACACAATTAACCCCCCATACACACGCTACCCCCATACACACACACACTGCCCCCATACACACAATTACCACGCCATACACACACTACCCCGCATAAACAAACACTGCCCCAATACACATAATTAACCCCCATATAAACACACTTCCCCCCCATACACACACACACACACCGTACCCCTTACACCACCTGCCCCCCTCACTCACATACTGTACTCCTCATGCACAAACTGCCCCACATACACACACACACACAAACTACATCCTTCACAAACATAATACACCCCTGTACACAAACACTGCATCCCTTATACACACACGCACACTGCACTTTTGTACACACACACATGCACACTGCACCCCTGTACACAAACGCACATTGAACTCCCCCCTCCCCACACACACTACAGCCCCTATCCCAGCAGACCCCAGGTAAGTTGTCAAACTGTTCAGTTTGACTACTTACCCTGGGAGGGCACTATGGCACTACTGGCACCATAACCACTACAACGTAATGTAGTGGTTATTGTACCTGGATTGTTTCTTTACATAATCTACCAGTGCCACTCCCAAGATTAGGGGTCCAGTATATGCTGCAGCGCTGTACATATATACAACCTAGAAAATTGTTTTGACTTGGTGTGCCTTGGAAAAATATTGATATACTAGGGGCACCTTGAACCTAAAAGGTTTGGGAACCACTGGTCTAGACCATTAGCTGAGTTTACTTAGCCAATGAGCTAAGCCCTGCACTATTGGGATAGTTAAATGAAGTGTAGGATTTGGTGACAGATGCCCACCAGACCCCAGACTACTTACCCTGTCAGGACACCAAGACATTCCTGGCACTATAACCACTACAGTGCTCTTATGGTGCTTGGAGTATTCTATTAAATGCTTAGAAAGTTACATTTGTATCTGTGCAATAATACGTTTCCTTTATTTCTAGAGTACAAATTCAACAAATTCTAGAAGTAAAAATTGTATGTTTTGCTGTCCTCATCTCTCCAGGTCAAGGATCACAGGAATCTACCTACAATGGCTGGAGATATAACTTTTGGCCATCCACTCCCTAATATTACCCCAAATATTCTGAATTTCCCCCTTTTTCAACCGATATTCTGTATGATCAGAGATGAGTTTATTTAAGATGTTGAATAAAAGGATATAATGGTTATCATGTTGGTGCATCCACCATAAGTTGTTTTGAACACTGCTATGTTGTTTTTGCTTGCCATGTGAGGTTTTTTTTTGTTTGTTGTTTTTTTTAACATAACTGTTCCTATGCTAACACTTATCTGCTTGTACAAGTTGTTTTGAAACATCATGCAACAGTGTTGTCACAGGAGTTTGGCAGTTTGTGTAAGGCTATTCTGAAGCCTGATAGTACGGTTTCTGATAGCCTCTGATTAAAAAGAGATACTCTAAGCAACATAGCTGCTCATGCACCTTGCATTGCATATGATACATGGAGCTCCTTTTCGGACTCCCTTCCAATTATTAGCTATGGCTCAGCAACTTTTATACATTGCTTCAGTAATATGTATTTTGCAAAGCTTTCTTCTTATCCTCATACCTATGTAAGAAAATCCATATTCTGTATACTCAAGGCATGCACTTCCCATGTCAGTTCACTAAATGACTTCTGTGTACAGAGCTGAAGATTGCCAGGATACATCATGACATCATATCTCGAGAGCCAACACTCTCTGCAGACAAACAGTGCAGGCAGCAGGCTAGAGGCAGGCTTTGGCAGCTCTAGTAAGAGCTTGAATGGGTGCCACTGTGTGTGCGACTATGTGTTTATCAGACTGTATCTGTGTGTATGGGTCACTGTTGTGTCAATGTTTGTATGGACCCTTGTGTGTTTTAAATTGTGTGTATATGCTGTGTGACAATGTCTGTGTGTGTATGAGTCACTGTGTGTGTCACTGTGTTCGTTTTGATCCCTGTGTGTGTCATTATGATTGTATTGGTCACTGTTGTGTATAAGTGTGTTTGCATTGGTTACTGTGTGTCATTGTGTGAATGTGTGTCATTGTGTGCATGAGTCACTGTATGTGTGTGCATCAGTATGTTTGGATTGATCACTGTGTGTCTATCATTGTGTGTATGGGTCACTGTGTGTGTTTCATTGTGCTTGAACTGGCCCCTGTGTGTGTCAGTGTGTGTATTGGTCACTGTGTGTATGCATGTGTGTCAGTATGTTTTCGTGAGTGTGTGTTGAAAACCTTTTTTAAACCTGTTTAAAGGACCACTATAGTGCCAGGAAAACACTGTGAAAATCAGAGTGAGAAGCGCGGAAGCGCCTCTAGCGGCTGTCAATGAGACAGCCGCTAGAGGCTGGATTAACCCATAGGTAAACATAGCAGTTTATCTGTGTTTACAGCAGGCAGGGTTAACCCTAGATGGACCTAGCACCCAGACCACTTCATTGAGCTGAAGTGGTCTGGGTGCCTATAGTGGTCCTTTAACTACACACTAGGAAATACGGTTTTGGGGAGATGTCATTAAAGTACCTGCCCCAGGGCACCTCATGACGTTTCTACGTCCCTGGCAGCCTGCACAGCTGTCTAGATCATGCATCCAAGATAGTTTAATTCATGAAAAAAACATTAAGAAAGCTAAAACAAGATAATAAAAGTTCTGGGGCTGCTACTCAAGACTACAAAACTACACATCACAAAAATCTCTTTGAGACAAAACTATAAAAAGCCTAAAAAACGCTTTGGAAACCCCAGCCAATTCCTGCTCCTCGTAAACCTTGCGGAATTGTAGCTTAAGGAAGAACGTGAGATAGATCTTTTAGTTGTTTGGGGGGGATGTTTGTTTTTTGCAAGTTTATTTCTATGATGTATTTAGAAACTTGCTTTATAAGAGGTCATACAAAGAAGAATACAAATCAAAAACGATACAAATAAGGTAAAGGGATCTGCCTAACAAAGGTAGAAACCCTCCTTACTGAAATTACCTCTGTTGCGGAGCTGCAATTTTATAATCCCAGGATCTCTGCTGGTAGAATGCAATAACCAAGTACAAAGCTGGAAGCAGGCAATATTCCCAAATCCTCCCAAGAACCAGACGAAACACAGTCTGAGAGTCAACTGCCACTTTATTCAAAAAGACTGATATTTAAAGCAGGTCACTCAACTGTCACTTTATTAAAAATAACTGATATTTAAAGCAGGTCACTCAACAGGGGTTTCCAAAGATGGGCAGCAGGGGTTTTGGTTGAGGGGACTGGAGGAAGACTACCGTTTCCAGGTCCTCCTCCCAACAGCCCCTGCTGTAACATACAGTAATGAAAACCACGAGGACATAAACCGTTACCTTTCTACTTCAAAATATACAACTTAGTCAGTTTTAATAGCAATGCTAACGAATGGGGAGGATTCGAACAGACATACACAGTACAGCATAAATGAAACATAGCCGGAGACGCCACACTATACCGGCGCGCAGTACACAACAGAAAATAGGCACAACCATTCTATCTTAGGCAGTCCCAAGTGGCTAGGTTTGCCACAATGCTCCCCCAAAACCAAGCCGGCATACACAGTCTGATCCCAACGGATCGGCTTGGGGATGTCCGGGGGAGTGCTCACAGATCATTTCTCAAGTTCTGTCTGTCTGGACAACCCATCGGCGTTACCATTCTGTTTTCCAGGGCGATAATGGATCGTGAAATCAAACGGCTGCAGCGCCAAACTCCAGCGCAACAGCCCATTGTCTCCTGACACCCTGTGTAGCCACACCAACGGGTTGTGATCTGTGAGCAAGGAGAATGGTTGTCCATACAAATAAGGTTGTAACTTTTTGAGGGCCCACACCACGGCCAGGCATTCCTTCTCGATGGCGGCGTAGCCTACTTCCCTTGGTAGTAATTTTCTGCTTAAGTAAGCTACGGGATGTTCTCCGCCATCAGCTCCCACTTGGCTCAGTACTGCCCCCAATCCAAACATGGAAGCGTCTGTGTGAACAAGAAATCGTTTAGTTGGATCAGGGGCAGTTAACACAGGAGCCTTAGTTAATGCAGTTTTTAGTTCATGGAATGCCTGTTCACACTCTGGGGCCCAGTTGACCTGTCGTGGCAAGTTTTTCTTGGTCAAGTCCGTCAGGGGTTTGGCCAGGGCGCTGTAATTGGGCACAAATTTTCTGTAGTAACCAGCGGTACCAAGGAACGCCAATACTTGTGTCTTTGTCCTGGGGGTAGGCCACTTAGCTACTGCCTCTATCTTGGCCGGTTCGGGCCTCTGCTGTCCGCATCCTACCCTGTGACCCAGGTACTGCACCTCTGCCATCCCTATGTGACACTTGCTAGGTTTTAGTGTCAGCCCTGCCTCTCCAATACGGTCAATGACCACACTAATATGTTTCAAATGATCTGCCCAGGTCTGGCTATAAATGGCTATATCATCTAAGTACGCACAGGCGTACTCTTGGAACCCGTCCAGTAGCCGATCTACCATCCTCTGAAAGGTAGCCGGAGCGTTTTTCATCCCGAAAGGCATGACCCGAAATTGATACAGGCCAAACGGGGTGACAAACGCCGACTTGGGGATGGCCTCCTCGGCTAGTGGAATCTGCCAGTATCCCTTACACAGATCAATGGTAGTGAGATACTGGCCTCTTGCCATCCTATCTAGCAGCTCGTCTATACGGGGCATCGGGTAGGCGTCAGACACTGTTTTGTCATTGAGCCTCCGGTAGTCTACACAAAACCGCGTGGTGCCATCCTTCTTGGGTACTAGCACTACCGGTGATGCCCAGGGGCTATCTGAATGTTCGATAACCCCTAACTGCAACATTTCCTCAATTTCTTTCCTCATGTGCTCCCTTACTGCTTCAGGGATACGATACGGAGTCTGTCTCATAGGGAGCTGTCCTGGGGTCTCTACTCGGTGGGTAGCTAACAGAGTGTACCCTGGTAAATTGGAGAAGGTAGCACCTTTTGCCGCAATCAACTCCTGTACCTGGGCACGCTCCTGGAGACTTAGCCGCTCCCCCAGCTGCACACCTGTAGCGTTTTCTGCAGAATCTTCCTTTTCTAACATGTCTGGCAAGGGCAGATTCTCATAATCCTCAGTGGCTGGGGCACAGATGGCTGCTACCTCCTCTATTCTCTGGTGATAGGGTTTGAGCATGTTCACATGGAGCATGCGTCGTTTCCCTACCCCAGAGCACGGGCCGATCACATAAGTGGTGTCACATCTCTGTTCTACCACTTGGTATGGGCCCTGCCAGGTGGCCTGTAGCTTGTCTGTGCGGACAGGTTTCAAAATTAGAACTTTCTGTCCCACCTGAAAGCTACGGTCTCTGGCTCCCCTATCGTACCACCGGCGCTGTCGCCGCTGAGCCGCCCGGAGGTTCTCCCGTACGGTTTGGGTTAGAGCCTCCAAGCGGTCCCGGAACTCCAGCACGTATGGCACAATGGGACTCCATCTGCACTGCTCCCCCCCTCCCAATGTTCTCTAATTAAGTCTAGGGGTCCCCTCACCCTTCTCCCAAACAATAACTCAAACGGAGAGAAGCCGGTAGATTCCTGTGGCACTTCTCGGTACGCAAAAAGCAGATGGGGTAAAAACCTCTCCCAGTCTTTATGGGACTCCCCAAATGTCCTGAGCATCTGCTTCAAGGTACCGTTAAAGCGCTCACACAACCCATTGGACTGCGGGTGATAGGCAGAATTTACAATTGGCTTAATGCCACATAACTTCCATAGCTGGTGGGTCACTTCGGCTGTAAATTGGGTCCCCCTATCCGAAATTATCTCTTGGGGAAATCCCATCCTGGAAAATATCTTCATCATAGCTTCGGCTACCGTTTCTGCTTGTATATTGGAAAGGGCTATAGCCTCCGGGTACCGGGTGGCATAATCTACAATGGTCAGAATATACCGCTTGCCGGAAGGGCTAGGCTTGGACAGTGGTCCTACTATATCCACTGCTACTCTGCTAAAGGGTTCTTCAATAATGGGAAGGGGGCACAATTTCGCTTTGTGGCGGTCACCCCTTTTTCCCACTCTCTGACAAATGTCACATGTCTGACAATACTGTCTCACATCTCTAGATATACCTGGCCAGAAAAATGCATGTGTCAATCTGTACCTCGTTCTTGTCATCCCTAAATGCCCAGACAGCGGAATATCGTGGGCAATTCTAAGCAGTTCCTGCCGGTATTTCTGGGGCACTATAAGCTGCTTATTAGTCACATGTACAGACCCCCCTACCACCCGCTCAGCAACACGATATAACAGATTTTTCTCCCATACATACTGTTCTCCCTCTAAACCTGTCTGACCAGCTGTCGCCTTATCCTTATAAATTTGCAACGTGGGATCGTTTTTAACCTCTGCCTCAAAGTCAGTCGGGGTATCCCAGGAAACACGGGTTACACGGGGTACATTGTCTCTTACCTGAGCCTCAGAGTGTGTGGAAGATGAAGCCGTGGTGCGAGCCTGCTGACGGGTGGTCACTGGATATGCCTCATGGCGAGGACTTTGGGGCACAAAAGCGGAAGTCATTTGCCCCAGGTCATTCCCCAAAACAACATCAGCTGGTAACTTGTGCATCAGCCCCACCTCCACCATACCTTCCCCCGCACCCCAATTCAGATGTACCTTGGCAGTTGGTAGCCGGTACATGGCACCCCCTGCTACCCGGACTGCTACCGATCCCCCGGTATGTGCTGATCCTGACACCAAATGCGGGGCAACCAAAGTTAAGGTAGCGCCGGAATCACGTAGCCCCTGTACCTCTTTCCCTTCCAGAGTCACGGTCTGGCAATGTGGTTGTCGGTTGTCAGTAGCATGGATGGACATTACATCGTGCAAAACGCCCAGGGGTTCATCAGCCGACTCAAGCGGCACTCCTGGCAAAGTTGGCTATGCATGATAATAATGAGCAGCTGCCCGCGGGGCCATATTCTGCTGGAGCTGATTCCAGTTCTTGCGGCTCCGGTTTTGGGCGCACTCCCGGGCCATGTGCCCCCATTGCTTACAGGCATGGCACTGGATGTTGGACCTGCCATTATAACGGGAGTGGGGAGGTTGTCCCACAAGTGCTGGTCTGGATGGTGCTGTCGCTGGGGCAGGAGCAATAACTGGAAACGGTTGCGGGTTGGGTTTTGCTTACCCTCGGTTATTATTTTTATGATGCCTCCTAGCATCATAATGTTGGTCGGCCAATCGTGCCGCTTCGGTTAGGGCGTGAGGATTTCGGTCATTCACCCATTCTTGAGCCTCTGGTGCCAGGCCATTACAAAACTGCTCCAGTAGCAACATCTGGCGTAACTCTTCCATGGTGGTAGCTCTGTTGGCTTGTATCCAGCCTTGTGAGGCTTGGTCAAGCTTGTGTGCCCACTCCGCATGTGAGTCTTTGTCCCCTTTTTTCAATTCTCGGAACTTGCGCCGGTATGCCTCTGGGGTAATGGCATACCTTTCTAATAGCGCCTGCTTTACCTTGTCATAATTCTTGCTGTCCTCTCTGGGTACAGCCCGGTAGGCGTCTGCTGCACGCCCAGACAGTTTGCCTGCCAACAAAGGTACCCACATAGCTTGCTCTACATCATGCAAGTCACACAATCTTTCAAAATCTTGCAAGAATCCATCTATTTCGTCTTTATCCTCGCAAAAAGTTTTAAATGCATGATGTGGTATTTTTGGCCTTCCCTGGCCCACAGTTGAAACAGCAGCGGTTTCTGCTTGAGGTGAGAAGGCTTGATTCATTTGCGCCATCACGTACTCCTGTGCATCCGCCGAAATTATGGTCATAATTTCTGGAGATACTGGAGCGGGCCAAAATGCCAATCTTGTCCTCATTTCTCGTTCAAATGGGGTCTCCTCCATGTTTGCTGGGGGTGTAGCACTACGAGCTCGGTCTCCTTCCATTAGCTCGGCAATAAGTCTTGCTTTAGGCTTATTGCTGGCTATCTTAACCCTGGCTTCCAACAGCTCCTTTAACGTTTGCCGTTTCAATATGGTGTAATCCGTCCCCATTCACTTCTGCATCTGTATCAATTGCCTTCTGCTTTCCAGTATGTCAATTCCAATTGTATAAACAGCGTTTTTCCTGCTGTACGGTTGGATCCCGCCGCTTGCCACCAATTGTTGCGGAGCTGCAATTTTATAATCCCAGGATCTCTGCTGGTAGAATGCAATAACCAAGTACAAAGCTGGAAGCAGGCAATATTCCCAAATCCTCCCAAGAACCAGACGAAACACAGTCTGAGAGTCAACTGCCACTTTATTCAAAAAGACTGATATTTAAAGCAGGTCACTCAACTGTCACTTTATTAAAAATAACTGATATTTAAAGCAGGTCACTCAACAGGGGTTTCCAAAGATGGGCAGCAGGGGTTTTGGTTGAGGGGACTGGAGGGAGACTACCGTTTCCAGGTCCTCCTCCCAACAGCCCCTGCTGTAACATACAGTAATGAAAACTACGAGGACATAAACCGTTACCTTTCTACTTCAAAATATACAACTTAGTCAGTTTTAATAGCAATGCTAACGAATGGGGAGGATTCGAACAGACATACACAGTACAGCATAAATTAAACATAGCCGGAGACGCCACACTATACCGGCGCGCAGTACACAACAGAAAATAGGCACAACCATTCTATCTTAGGCAGTCCCAAGTGGCTAGGTTTGCCACAATGCTCCCCAAAACCAAGCCGGCATACACAGTCTGATCCCAACGGATCGGCTTGGGGATGTCCGGGGGAGTGCTCACAGATCATTTCTCAAGTTCTGTCTGTCTGGACAACCCATCGGCGTTACCATTCTGTTTTCCAGGGCGATAATGGATCGTGAAATCAAACGGCTGCAGCGCCAAACTCCAGCGCAACAGCCGGGCATTGTCTCCTGACACCCTGTGTAGCCACACCAACGGGTTGTGATCTGTGAGCAAGGAGAATGGTTGTCCATAGAAATAAGGTTGTAACTTTTTGAGGGCCCACACCACGGCCAGGCATTCCTTCTCGATGGCGGCGTAGCCTACTTCCCTTGGTAGTAATTTTCTGCTTAAGTAAGCTACGGGATGTTCTCCGCCATCAGATCCCACTTGGCTCAGTACTGCCCCCAATCCAAACATGGAAGCGTCTGTGTGAACAAGAAATCATTTAGTTGGATCAGGGGCAGTTAACACAGGAGCCTTAGTTAATGCAGTTTTTAGTTCATGGAATGCCTGTTCACACTCTGGGGCCCAGTTGACCTGTCGTGGCAAGTTTTTCTTGGTCAAGTCCGTCAGGGGTTTGGCCAGGGCGCTGTAATTGGGCACAAATTTTCTGTAGTAACCAGCGGTACCAAGGAACGCCAATACTTGTGTCTTTGTCCTGGGGTAGGCCACTTAGCTACTGCCTCTATCTTGGCCGGTTTCGGGCCTCTGCTGTCCGCATCCTACCCTGTGACCCAGGTACTGCACCTCTGCCATCCCTATGTGACACTTGCTAGGTTTTAGTGTCAGCCCTGCCTCTCCAATACGGTCAATGACCACACTAATATGTTTCAAATGATCTGCCCAGGTCTGGCTATAAATGGCTATATCATCTAAGTACGCACAGGCGTACTCTTGGAACCCGTCCAGTAGCCGATCTACCATCCTCTGAAAGGTAGCGTTTTTCATCCCGAAAGGCATGACCCGAAATTGATACAGGCCAAACGGGGTGACAAACGCCAACTTGGGGATGGCCTCCTCGGCTAGTGGAATCTGCCAATCCCTTACACAGATCAATGGTAGTGAGATACTGGCCTCTTGCCATCCTATCTAGCAGCTCGTCTATACGGGGCATCGGGTAGGCGTCAGACACTGTTTTGTAATTGAGCCTCCGGTAGTCTACACAAAACCGCGTGGTGCCATCCTTCTTGGGTACTAGCACTACCGGTGATGCCCAGGGGCTATCTGAATGTTCGATAACCCCTAACTGCAACATTTCCTCAATTTCTTTCCTCATGTGCTCCCTTACTGCTTCAGGGATACGATACGGAGTCTGTCTCATAGGGAGCTGTCCTGGGGTCTCTACTCGGTGGGTAGCTAACAGAGTGTACCCTGGTAAATTGGAGAAGGTAGCACCTTTTGCCGCAATCAACTCCTGTACCTGGGCACGCTCCTGGAGACTTAGCCGCTCCCCCAGCTGCACACCTGTAACGTTTTCTGCAGAATCTTCCTTTTCTAACATGTCTGGCAAGGGCAGGTTCTCATAATCCTCAGTGGCTGGGGCACGGATGGCTGCTACCTCCTCTATTCTCTGGTGATAGGATTTGAGCATGTTCACATGGAGCATGCGTCGTTTCCCTACCCCAGAGCACGGGCCGATCACATAAGTGGTGTCACATCTCTGTTCTACCACTTGGTATGGGCCCTGCCAGGTGGCCTGTAGCTTGTCTGTGCGGACAGGTTTCAAAATTAGAACTTTCTGTCCCACCTGAAAGCTACGGTCTCTGGCTCCCCTATCGTACCACCAGTGCTGTCGCCGCTGAGCCGCCCGGAGGTTCTCCCGTACGGTTTGGGTTAGAGCCTCCAAGCGGTCCCGGAACTCCAGCACGTATGGCACAATGGGGACTCCATCTGCACTGCTCCCCCCTCCCAATGTTCTCTAATTAAGTCTAGGGGTCCCCTCACCCTTCTCCCAAACAATAACTCAAACGGAGAGAAGCCGGTAGATTCCTGTGGCACTTCTCGGTACGCAAAAAGCAGATGGGGTAAAAACCTCTCCCAGTCTTTATGGGACTCCCCAAATGTCCTGAGCATCTGCTTCAAGGTACCGTTAAAGCGCTCACACAACCCATTGGACTGCGGGTGATAGGCAGAATTTACAATTGGCTTAATGCCACATAACTTCCATAGCTGGTGGGTCACTTCGGCTGTAAATTGGGTCCCCCTATCCGAATTATCTCTTGGGGAAATCCCATCCTGGAAAATATCTTCATCATAGCTTCGGCTACCGTTTCTGCTTGTATATTGGAAAGGGCTATAGCCTCCGGGTACCGGGTGGCATAATCTACAATGGTCAGAATATACCGCTTGCCGGAAGGGCTAGGCTTGGACAGTGGTCCTACTATATCCACTGCTACTCTGCTAAAGGGTTCTTCAATAATGGGAAGGGGGCACAATTTCGCTTTGTGGCGGTCACCCCTTTTTCCCACTCTCTGACAAATGTCACATGTCTGACAATACTGTCTCACATCTCTAGATATACCTGGCCAGAAAAATGCATGTGTCAATCTGTACCTCGTTCTTGTCATCCCTAAATGCCCAGACAGCGGAATATCGTGGGCAATTCTAAGCAGTTCCTGCCGGTATTTCTGGGGCACTATAAGCTGCTTATTAGTCACATGTACAGACCCCCCTACCACCCGCTCAGCAACACGATATAACAGATTTTTCTCCCATACATACTGTTCTCCCTCTAAACCTGTCTGACCAGCTGTCGCCTTATCCTTATAAATTTGCAACGTGGGATCGTTTTTAACCTCTGCCTCAAAGTCAGTCGGGGTATCCCAGGAAACACGGGTTACACGGGGTACATTGTCTCTTACCTGAGCCTCAGAGTGTGTGGAAGATGAAGCCGTGGTGCGAGCCTGCTGACGGGTGGTCACTGGATATGCCTCATGGCGAGGACTTTGGGGCACAAAAGCGGAAGTCATTTGCCCCAGGTCATTCCCCAAAACAACATCAGCTGGTAACTTGTGCATCAGCCCCACCTCCACCATACCTTCCCCCGCACCCCAATTCAGATGTACCTTGGCAGTTGGTAGCCGGTACATGGCACCCCCTGCTACCCGGACTGCTACCGATCCCCCGGTATGTGCTGATCCTGACACCAAATGCGGGGCAACCAAAGTTAAGGTAGCGCCGGAATCACGTAGCCCCTGTACCTCTTTCCCTTCCAGAGTCACGGTCTGGCAATGTGGTTGTCGGTTGTCAGTAGCATGGATGGACATTACATCGTGCAAAACGCCCAGGGGTTCATCAGCCGACTCAAGCGGCACTCCTGGCAAAGTTGGCTCTGCATGATAATAATGAGCAGCTGCCCGCGGGGCCATATTCTGCCGGAGCTGATTCCAGTTCTTGCGGCTCCGGTTTTGGGTGCACTCCCGGGCCATGTGCCCCCATTGCTTACAGGCATGGCACTGGATGTTGGACCTGCCATTATAACGGGAGTGGGGAGGTTGTCCCACAAGTGCTGGTCTGGATGGTGCTGTCGCTGGGGCAGGAGCAATAACTGGAAACGGTTGCGGGTTGGGTTTTGCATACCCTCGGTTATTATTTTTATGATGCCTCCTAGCATCATAATGTTGGTCGGCCAATCGTGCCGCTTCGGTTAGGGTGTGAGGATTTCGGTCATTCACCCATTCTTGAGCCTCTGGTGCCAGGCCATTACAAAACTGCTCCAGTAGCAACATCTGGCGTAACTCTTCCATGGTGGTAGCTCTGCTGGCTTGTATCCAGCCTTGTGAGGCTTGGTCAAGCTTGTGTGCCCACTCCGCATGTGAGTCTTTGTCCCCTTTTTTCAATTCTCGGAACTTGCGCCGGTATGCCTCTGGGGTAATGGCATACCTTTCTAATAGCGCCTGCTTTACCTTGTCATAATTCTTGCTGTCCTCTCTGGGTACAGCCCGGTAGGCGTCTGCTGCACGCCCAGACAGTTTGCCTGCCAACAAAGGTACCCACATAGCTTGCTCTACATCATGCAAGTCACACAATCTTTCAAAATCTTGCAAGAATCCATCTATTTCGTCTTTATCCTCGCAAAAAGTTTTAAATGCATGATGTGGTATTTTTGGCCTTCCCTGGCCCACAGTTGAAACAGCAGCGGTTTCTGCTTGAGGTGAGAAGGCTTGATTCCTTTGCGCCATCACGTACTCCTGTGCATCCGCCGAAATTATGGTCATAATTTCTGGAGATACTGGAGCGGGCCAAAATGCCAATCTTGTCCTCATTTCTCGTTCAAATGGGGTCTCCTCCATGTTTGCTGGGGGTGTAGCACTACGAGCTCGGTCTCCTTCCATTAGCTCGGCAATAAGTCTTGCTTTAGGCTTATTGCTGGCTATCTTACCCCTGGCTTCCAACAGCTCCTTTAACGTTTGCCGTTTCAATATGGTGTAGTCCGTCCCCATTCACTTCTGCATCTGTATCAATTGCCTTCTGCTTTCCAGTATGTCAATTCCAATTGTATAAACAGCGTTTTTCCTGCTGTACGGTTGGATCCCGCCGCTTGCCACCAATTGTTGCAGAGCTGCAATTTTATAATCCCAGGATCTCTGCTGGTAGAATGCAATAACCAAGTACAAAGCTGGAAGCAGGCAATATTCCCAAATCCTCCCAAGAACCAGACGAAACACAGTCTGAGAGTCAACTGCCACTTTATTCAAAAAGACTGATATTTAAAGCAGGTCACTCAACTGTCACTTTATTAAAAATAACTGATATTTAAAGCAGGTCACTCAACAGGGGTTTCCAAAGATGGGCAGCAGGGGTTTTGGTTGAGGGGACTGGAGGGAGACTACCGTTTCCAGGTCCTCCTCCCAACAGCCCCTGCTGTAACATACAGTAATGAAAACTACGAGGACATAAACCGTTACCTTTCTACTTCAAAATATACAACTTAGTCAGTTTTAATAGCAATGCTAACGAATGGGGAGGATTCGAACAGACATACACAGTACAGCATAAATTAAACATAGCCGGAGACGCCACACTATACCGGCGCGCAGTACACAACAGAAAATAGGCACAACCATTCTATCTTAGGCAGTCCCAAGTGGCTAGGTTTGCCACAACCTCCTAAGTAGAATAATTTAAAGGTAATCGCAAAACAACAAAAAAATAATAATAATAAACTTTATTTAAACAAGATCCTAAAGTTAAAATACAATAAAGTGTAAAAAAAGGAGCAGGTGAAAGTGTCTTATAACAATCAACAAGTATAAAGGGTATTGAAAAATCCCTATAAGGGTTTAAAAAAATCCCTATATAAAAACTAAGTGTGCTGCATGCACAAAACAATATGTATAGTATAGCCTGAGAAGAGAAAAACGTCAGAGGTGCTCAGGATATCAGTTACACAGCAGGCAGCATACAGAACATGTAGCCTGAGCAGGACAGTAGGTGAAAAGATAGCCAGAGATAGGTAATAGCCAGTTGGGTTCTATGTATAAGACCCCTCAGATAGAGTAGTGGGAGTAGAAGTGCATCTAGTTGAATGGAGGCATAACCCCACAATAAAACCAATGGCAGCCAAACCCCTCTACTAACCAGCCGTGCTACTAACCCTCGAAGCCAAGAGGCTAACTAAAGAAATGGCTAGAGCTATCCAACCTAATTACCTAGGCTATCTGCTGCTTCATGGAAGCTAAAAGATTCTGTGTAGCTTGCCCTGCATGTTTAACATAAAGAGATAGACAAATTATTCTCCCCTCAATAGAAATGTGAACTAAAAGAATAAGTGCATCGGCACCGGTAGCTACTAAGCTGCTCCTTTTTTCACTATACTCTATCGTATTTTAACTTTAGGATCTTGTTTAAATAACATTTATTATAATTTTTTTGTTGTTTTTCCATTACCTTTGAATGATTCTACGTAGAAGGTGATTTCAGTAAGGAGGGTTTCTACCTTTGTTAGGCAGATTCCTTTACCTTATTTGTATCTTCTTTCTAATTAACTTGGTCATGCCCACATTACCTCTGTGACCATATTTATGACCACGTATTAGGTTTTTCCTGATATTTTTATATACTTTTTCAAGAATACAAATCAATGTTAATTCACTTGTGCCCTAGGGCATTACTAAAAGAGCTGACAGGGGCTGTAGTCCAGGTGAATCCTGAAAACACTCATTTGGGCACAATTTCGCTGTTAGCCCCAAGTCCACTGTATATCTTGAGAGAGAAATAATATCTCCAGTTACATCATTTGTGACAATTCTACTTTGATGCACCATATTTGGAGGTACCTCTACAGAACAGTGTGGAAGTAATGCTGCAGGTGCTAGCTTACTATAGCATGGTGTAGAGTTAATACAACAGGCATGGCATTTCTAAATATAGGTGCATGTAATACAATGAGTTCTATCAAACACTTGGTGTCACATTGTAATTTATAGAACACATTAGGTTTTACATTTGGACTCAGGGCACGGTATAAGGCTGTTTTTAGGAGGGCCTTACATCAATATATGTGGGAGCAGAGCCATTTACCCTTGGGCTGAAGACCCTGGTCTTTTTTCCACCAAGCAATGTCTCTGCTCGTGCCATTACTGAGGAAACCTATACAACTGTCCGACAGGTGCAACCTATATGGGCAGTTCACAAATAAAAAGTTAGGCAAGTAGGCAAACAGTGTATAAAACATTGACTGAAAGAGAACTGTAGCTTATAGCTTAAAGGGAACACTCCAGGCACCAAGCACACTTCATGTGGTGCCTGGAATCACCCTATGCCTTCTTGCCTCCAAGTGTTAAACTGTTTTATGAAGAGAAGAAACCAGATTGGTGAAATTTTTAGTTTTAAACCTTAGTGTTAAACTGTTTAAAAATGTATTAACACTTAAAGATAAGAAACCGCCGGGGGACTCCAGACAGCATATTCACCTTATACACATGAAAAACATTTTGGTGCCTGGCACATTCCTTTAAGCTGTAGTCTTTTTTCAGTGAATGTTTTTTCCAATTTTAGCTTATTTCTCTTTCATACATTAACTGGTTTTGATGCCCCCTTTTCCTTTAATAGTATGACCTTTGTATAGTGGACCACAAATTCTAAAATTACTTTTTATTCATTTCTCCACTTACAAAGGTTAGTATACCATCAGCCTGTCGGATTTGCCCCATTCACTGTGTCAAAGCCATTGTCATTTCACATGATGCATTTTTTTTATAGATTTCTTCACAAAAGCCTTCCATGTTTGTAAATAGACACGTGCAATTCGTTTCTGTCCAAATTAAAATTCCGACGAATTTCGGCAATTCCGACTTTCGGATGCTTCCGAATGTCTGAATTGCTGAAGTGCCGAATTTCGGAAGTGTCGATCCAAAACAAACTGCCAAAGTCCCGAATTTTGGAAGTGCCGAAGTGCTTCGGATTTCTGAAAAGTGGCAAAACAGGAGAGGGAGGTAAAATTAAGGGAATGATGACAGGAATCTAGCCCTAACCCTACCACTACACCTAACCCTACCCCTAACCCAAACCCCAACCTTCCTCTAACCAAAACCCTACAACTAACAATATCCCTAACCCTAAACCTAGTAGGAGTAGGGTTAGGGGTAGGGTAAGTGGTAGGGTTAGGGCTAGGGTAAGGGGTAGGATAAGGGTTAAGGTGAGGGGTAGGAGAAGGGTTAGGTGTAGGGTTAGGGTAAGGGTTAGGGTTATGGAATTGTCTCGATTTACCGAAGTCCCGAATTGCAGAATTCGCAAATTTTGGAAGTGCTGAATTGAACCGAACCGCTGAAGTGCCGAATTGCCGAAGTTCCGAATTTCGGAAGTGCCAAACCGAATTGCCGAAATCCCAAATTAGCTGAAGTCCCGAATTTTGGAAGTGCCGAATTGAACCATAAGTTTTTGCCTATGCACATCCTTATTTATAAAAACTGAAATAGCCTGCCTTCATAAAAATGCAAATACTGAAAGACACAAATATTCAAACATCTGGGATGTTAGATACTAGCATTTCAGATGGCCTGTTAATGATGGCCTTATTAATTTGCTTCATTTGTGGCCCTGTCTAAAATATTGTAGTGTAAGAGATGTCATATAATATCTTGTTAAAAATAGTGAACACTGAAAAGTAATCTGTGAATATATATTATTTATTTTTTAAATTTAAATAACTTGATAGTGAAGGGGAATTGGACAATGTTATATTGTTTGCTAGGTTGCAACCAGCATTTTGCTAATTTTCTTGGGGAGAAGAAGATCACCTATGCACTAGTTTCCTCCCTTTGTTTCTCTGATACTGAGTAACAGTGAATAGAAGCTGGGGCTTCAGTATGATTATTCAGTAACGGAAAGGAAAAGGAAATTTCAAAATAACATGCCCATATTACACTCAGGCTAAGCTTGTTATGGGCTCAGAGCCCTGGCACAGACCAGCTGTTTGTCTGCTATTGGCTGGACTGCAACACACCTCTGGAATGCCTCCTCTTGGAATACAGCACATTGGATCCTTTCGTGGAGTGTGGCGAAAATTAAGGAGGACAAAAGCAAGGCTTAGAATTTGTAACTAAACAGATTATAAAATAGGCGTTTGTGTAGTGTGTTTCTATTTTGTTCAAAACTTTGCACAGATTGTTCTTTTAATTATTGCAGTAATGTGCTTATAAAGTGTGCTAGGAGATTATTGATTTTGTTTCTCTTTAGCAAAAGTAGGTCAAATTATTTACTTCAGTTATTTTTCAGCTTCCTAAAGCTGCATTTTTGCTGTTGATGGCAAAAACAACAATTCCTTTACTTTGCCAGTTTAATACCATAACAATAGGCCATAGCCTTGCATTTATGTGATAAACACTATAGCAGAACTGTGGTATTTTGTGCATTTTATTTAAGTTTGTATTTTTAACTAACATAGAGTTGCTAAAAGATCACATTTGACACCATAACCATTTCATCACAACTACAACTCAAACAAATCCTATCATCCGAAGGATGATAATTCTTCCAAAAGCCATCAAATTTTGTTGAAGGAAGAAAGATAATTCTGGGTAGTAGCTTCCAATCTGTCCATGAGATGATGATCCTTCATTTTTGCTACAGCCTCTCTTATATTAGAAGCAGAGGTCCTCAAATGATGGTCGACTAAAGACCTGTGACAGCAAAAGTAAACTTATTAAATCATTTTTTGGAGAGAGACGGAAGGCCATCTATGGAATGAGACAATGGGAAGGTACCACGCTCCGATGGCTCTTTAGTGGCATTTGTGTTTTGGTTGTTTACACTTGATAATATGGGCTAACTTTGATATGGTACTAATAGGAATATGCCTATATATTATATTTGGAAATCACTGGAAGCCATTCACTGTTCAATTATGATATTCTGATGCATGGCCCTTTCTTACTAGAGGAGGCATTTTTTTTATTAGGTCTTATGTATTTTTTGATACTTTGTTTATTTCTTAGAAGCTTACTAGAGCCAGTTAATTTGCTGAAGTGTAGCCAAGTTAATGGATTTTGATACAATTTAGTTTGAAACACATTACAAAATACTTGATACTTCGTGTTTATTAGATCTAAGCTGATGAAGCAAGCACTTAAAGGAACATTATAGTGTTAGGAATACAACACTTTATTCGTAACACTATAGTGTCTGCCTCCCCATGGCAAATAAAGGGTTAAAAAAAAGTTTTACTTACCTGATTCTGAACAGTGCTCAGAATCACTCTCTGCCTCCTCTGACTTCACGTTGATGAAGAATCCTAATGCCATGCATGGAAAGCACCACACACACCATTTCTGTGGAACTCCCTTCCCTTCTCCGTTATACTTTCACCCACTCCTTCAAAAAATCTTTGAAAACCCACTTCTTCAGGAAAGCATATCATTTATACTGTAAGCGGGGTTTCAATCCCCCCCTCCCCCCAATGACTCCTCTCCTGCAACTGTCAAAAATAACCTACTAAGTTCTCAGTGAATACATTTCTAACAACCTATTTCATTACCCCTACTTATACCCTTTGTGTCACTATACCCCACTCCCTCTAGCATGTAAGCTCATTGAGCAGGGCCCTCAACCCCTCTGTTCCTGTGCTTTCATTTGTCTGATTACAATTACGTGTCTGTTAGTCCACCCATTGTACAGCGCTACGGAATTGGCTGGCGCTATATAAATAAAAAAAATAATAATAATATGAAAAACCTCTATTAGGTCCCTCACTTTATGCTGTAAGGGAGTTTACCCAAGGTAAGTAAGTGTCTTTTTGGCCTTAATGTTACCAGGAAAGCTCTGTAGTTACCCTGCTACTGTATATGAATTAATAGGGGCGTTATACCATCAACACATTTGTTCTTGTAATGTGACACATACTGAGACCTTAGTCAGGGGACCTACCTATTATAAAGCCTCAGTTCTGGCCCAGTGTATCTCTATGTTCTCTCCTTGAGGATGGGTGCCATGGGTAGATATGGAGGATACTCAAGTACACCTCATAAAGATTCTATATGGTGGTGACAGTGACACTATAATATAAAGTCTGCTTAAACTGAACCTTTTGACTGTGTTTTCTAACATTTACACGATCTACTGCAAAATAGTTATACTGTGTGGAACATGTACATAGAGGGTTTTTTGTTTTCCCTCTTTCTATTTTCCTTCAAAAGTCGAAATAATAAATGTAACTTTCGTTTCACACACTTAAAGTGAACATGCATAGTAAATATGTATACCCGGACAAACGTGATAATATGACAAGGACACTTTCAGATAGTCAAATGTATAGATTCAACAGGCGTCCCCAAGCTGGAATTGTCCCTTTGTGATTATCATATTATAAATACATAAGGCATTAAACATATGCAAAACGTTGGGGGACTTGCAAGACTTAGAAGTTGCTGACATTGTTTGCAAATCCTAGCTGTTCTCTGGTAGACAGCATTGAGCATTTCCTGAAAACCTCAGCTTAGTAGTGATTAAAGGGACATGCAGCATAACTTGAGTTATAGATAAAACCACTAGGTAAAAGCCACTTACGGCCACTTCACAAAAAGTCACAGAATAGGCACACAGATCTCAAACAAATGCTTATACATTGAGTGAGACATTGCTCTTTCTGATTACATATTTGAGCATTGTGGTGCATTTACAGCTGTAGCGATTTTTACAAAGAGGTGTAGACTGCTACAAGTTCTAAGCCAAAGAGAAACCTCCTTGCAACTTAAAGAACCAGTATAGTGCCAGGAAAACAAACTCGTTTTCCTGGCACTATAGGGTCTTTGGGTCCAAGCCCACCCGCTGGGCTGAAGGGGGGAAGGGGTTATATTCTTACCTTTCTCCAGTGCCGGGCTCCCTCAGAGCTGGGGCCTCTCCTCCCTCTTCTGACGTCATCTGCCGAATGCACATGCGCATTCAATCAGTGCATAGGAAAGCATTTCTCAATGCTTTCCCATTGGACGTTGTCGTCTTCTTACTGTGAAAATCACAGTGAGAAGTGCGGAAGCGCCTGTAGCGGCTGTCATTGAGACAGCCACTAGAGGCTGGATTAACCCTAATGTAAACATACCAGTTTCTCTGAAACTGATATGTTTACAGCTGCAGGGTTAACCCTAGATGGACCTCACACCCAGACCACTTAATTGAGCTGAAGTGCTCTGGGTGCCTATAGTGGTCCTTTAACCTATACAAGGAGCATACGTTGCTATTGTGCTTTAGTTGCCCCTTTTCAGGGATCACTTTTTCTACCTCAATGATGGACAAGGAAGTGTTACTTCTAGAGAGAATAATGTTTGATAAGAAGAGCCATGTTAAAAGATGATGATGAGCAATTACCTAAGTTGATGCAGTCACAATTTAACCATCCCAATAATTTTTGACAATACATTGATTTTTATCAGTTGATTATAAAAATACTTGCCAAAACAACATGACTTATGTTAAACAGTCAAACGTAATAATTCCCATTTGAGAGTTATTGGAATAATAATGGAACTAAATTCACCAAAAAAGACTAGTTAAAGCACAGAAAACACGATTCTAACAACTATTAACAAATGACCTTAAAATATTCAGTCCTTCTTTCAACTACCTCTCCTGCGATGATGATGTGTGAAAGTAACAGGGATTTGTCGTTAATCAATAAAAAGCAAATAACATACCATTAAAGGGCCTGTCACTGCAATGAAAACACTGCCTTTTCTGAGAAAAAACAGTGTTTATATTGCTGCTTAAGGCAATAACTCGTACATCCACTAGAGAGACTTCCTGGACAAGGTCTTGCGAAGAATGCAGGAACAGCATTCATCTCCATGCTATGCACATAGACTTCAAACAATCCCTATAGAGATGTACTGAGCCAATGCATCTTTATGAGGAGATGCTGATTGGCCATGCATGTGCATTAGTCTCCCAAAGCTTCCCTTTGAGAAACAAAGGATTGGCTGAGATCATCAGGATTGGTGATTTTAGCCAGTAGAGGCAGGGCAATGGTGACAAGACCGGCATGCTGGGAGAAAAAGGGTAAGAAAATCTATTTATTTACTTACTTCTGGGGTTACCAATAATCCCAATAGATATATTACTAGAGTATCCCTTTTAGCACTGTTACACCAAAAAACATACTAAAAATAGGTAACAAAACAAATACTATATACACTATAGCTAAAATATTTGATCTGAACATGTGTAAAGTAACATTGCATAAATATCAATGTTTATTTTGAACATAACAGTTTGATGACATGCGTCATCACTACTCTAATAAAGTGATGAGACAGGCAGTTGAGGTCATTTCATATTTCGTCCATTTCGTTTGTTATTAACCTTCAGAATAATTCTGGTTTTAAAGAGTTCCTCCAACCACCATTACCACTACAGCCCGCTGGAACAACCATACCATACCGGACATTTTGTGTGATTTGTTTGATTTTGTTCTGAGCAGGAAGGTCTCTCCACACCCTGTTATCGATGTCTTCCGGGTGTCTCTCAAGTTCCAGGAGCACCTGGCCTTGTCTTGTTAGTGCTGTGTCTGCCTGTTGTCTTGCCACTATGAGGTCTCTTCTAAGTTTTCCATATGGGCATCTAGCCCTGTTACATCGCTACGAAAATCTGACAGTTTCTGATTAATGGTGTCCTTTATTTCTAGTAACATAGCAGTTAAGTAATCCTTAGTTAGCATTGATCAGAAGATCGTGCGTAAGTCTGCGCAAATAGCTTCCAAGAATGAGGTCATTGTCGCTCGTATTTGGTGGCCTTGTTGAGACGAGCCTGCTTTCTTCAAGGCCTCCAATTCAGGAGGATGGTGCAGTTTTTTCTGAGGCTGCGGATCCAACCAACGCTGATGGCGTGGACAGGAATTTGTCCATCAATTGAGACTGAGGTGTGTTCGCCTGAGACTTGTGTATGGTACTTGTTCTGCAATTTTGGAACATACTTAAGGGATGATCGGGATGCTTCAGCTGTTTAGTATTGGGTAGGGCTGAGGAGTTCGCTTACTGCACATCTTGCTCAGCTGCCATCCAGGCCACAAACCCATGATTCTTATCATCCGACAACATTCTTTCAACAGCTAGGAGCAACAATAAAAAAAAAAAAAATACTGATATCTATATATATGCTGTTGTGATAAGCCAGCCAGAGGTGAATAGGAGGAATCTGCCACTTATAACCTTTGTGTTTTATGCAGAAACTGACGATTACCTAAACACAAAGAAAGGTGAAAGCAGCCTATTATTATTTACTAAATGCAATGGTAGAAGTCAGTGGTTCCCAAACTTTTAATATTTGAATATTATTTCAAGGCACCCCAAGTCAAAATGTCTAGGTTGTATATCTGTACAGCGCTGCAGCATTTACTGGTGCTATAGTGTAATGTATAGTGTTAATGTCTGAAGCTTGTATATAGTTTTAGTGTTTTAATACAGGGGTGTGTTTGTATGTAATGTATCTGTTTATATGTAATGTTTGCATTTGATTGCAGCGGTGTGTTTAAATGTAATGTTCACCTTTAAATGGGGATGTACATTTGTGTGAAGTATTTGTGTTTGAGTGAAGGGGTGCGTTTGTATGTAATATTTGTGTTAGATTGCAAGAGTGTGTTTGTATGTTGTGCTGGTGTTTGACTGCTTGGATGCAGGGCCGGACTGGCCCACCGGGATACCGGGAAATTTCCCGGTGGGCCGTCGGCACCTGGGGCCGGGCAGACATCTGGGTGTGCTGGCGGCCGCAGAAGGAGCTGTTCTTGCGGCCGCATGGGAAGCTGTGCTGTGCTGTCTCTGCTACCCAGCGCGCTACTGAATGAGACCGGGATCGGAATATGATGTCATATTCCGGCCCCGGTCTCATTTAGTAGGGCACGAGGGCGGGGGAGCAGAGACAGCACAGCACAGCTTCCCATTAGGCCGCCAGAACAGCTGTTTATGTGTGTGTGTGTCTGTGTGTCATGGTGTGTGTGTCTGTCATGTGTGTGTGTCTGTCTGTCATGGTGTGTGTGTGCGTGTGTCTGTCATGGTGTGTGTGTCTCTGTCTGTCAAGGTGTGTGTGTGTGTCTGTCTGTCATGGTGTGTGTGTCTGTCATGGTGTGTGTGTGTCTTTCTGTCATGATGTGTGTGTGTATGTCTGTCATGGTGTGTGTGTGTGTGTGTGTGTTTCTGTCTGTTATGGTGTGTGTGTCTGTGTCATGGACTGTCTGTGTCATGGTGTGTGTATGTCTGTGTCATGGTGTGTGTCTGTCATGATGTGTGTGTTTGTGTCTGTGTCATGGTGTGTGTCTGTCATGATGTGTGTGTTTGTGTCTGTGACACGTTTGTGTCTGTATCATGGTGTGTGTGTTTGTCTGTGTCATGGTCTGTCTGTCATGGTGTGTGTGTGTCTGTCATGGAGTGTGTATGTGTGTGTCTGCCATGGTGTGTGTGTGTGTTTTAAAAATAGTGTTTTTACTCACCTGTTCTTTTCTTTTTTCCACGCCATGCTGGTCTCCCCTCGACTGGCCCTGCCTCTATGGTTGAGATCATCAAGCTTCCCATAGGATTGGCTGCAAAACGCTACACCAATCAGCATCTCCTCATAGAGATGCATTAAATCAATGTATCTCTATGGGGAACCTTCAGCAGCTCCAGAGCGTGGAGGCCCTGAATGTAGGAAGCACCTCTAGTGACTGTCTGAGTGACTGTCACTAGAGGTGTCACTTGGAAGCAATGTAAACACTGTAAACACTGCCTTTTCTCTGAAAAGTCAGTGTTTACATTGAAAAGCCTGCAGGGACAGGCTATAGACACCAGAACGACTACATTAAGCTGTGTGTGTGTGCGCATGCTAGTTAGCTTGCTTGCTTGCATGTATGTGTGTGTGTGTCTGCTAGTGAGTGAGCTTGTGTTTTTATGTCAGTGAGCTTATGTTTATCAGTGAGATTGTCTATGAGGCTGTGTATCAATGAGCTTGTGTGTGTCAGTGAGATTGTCTGTGTCTGCATGTGAGTATGATTACTGTATAATTAAACATTTTACTATGAAAGGACAAATGTTTTATATTAGAAAAAGCAATATATATATATATTACTCAATCATCTGGGGTGGCAAGACATAGTCTTACAAATTACATGCGACAATATATGGCGCATTGACTTATGGGGCTGGCATATATTTTTTTTCCAGGGCTGCTTTGCATCTCCAGTCCGGCCCTGCTTGAATGTATGCACATACACTACCACATACATACATACTTACACAGATATACATAGAAATACACCGACACACACACAAATTCACATACACACAGATGTGTGTACACACACACACTCACACAGAAGCACACTGACATATATACACACACAGATGCACACCCTGACACTGCTTCTTGGAGCACAACGAGTAATGAAGATGTTATTATTCTTATGTCATTATTCCCAGGACATGGTACAGAAGAAACTGAATATGGGGTAAAAATATTCCACCAAAGGAATTAACAACTGTTATTAAAGACTCAAATGAGCCAGCCTAAAATACCCAGTTTATACTCGAACAAGCTGTGGTTAACAGGAATACGGTGCTTTAAATTCAATAAATCAATCATCTTTATTCATAGCTCTCTAATACGTACATATGAAGAAGCTAATCTTTGCAGAAGCCTACTCAGTATACAGAGCAGTGAAATGTGTAGTTTGGGAATGTAGCATGTCCTTTTAAATTTATAGCCGGTGAACTTTGTGAGACACAACTCTACCTGCTGATCACCAAGTAGCTGGGGTGTCCAGGAGTGGTATAACAAGACTGACAGAGTTTCACAAGTTTCTTATGAAGAAAGTTGTCCATATTACCAGTGATGAGTTTATGCGTAACACCACAGCTCTTAGTCCCCCCTCTATACTAAATCCCAGCACCCCCCTCTACTAAACCTCGGCCCCTGTTTTAAAAAAATCTAACAATATTATCCAACAAGCAGACTCCACTCACATTGCCGCTGCCAGTAGGCGACTCCAGAGTCCAGCCTCTGGTATACCTCCGAGGGTTCCGTCCGCACTCTGTGCCAAAGCGGATCCTTGAAACCCTGTGAAGGTGGAGCACGTTGATGTCACGTTTGAATGTGACGTGGCTTTGCTTGTCTCTGTGCACCTCCAGGTCCTCCACTGTCCAGCCGCGGCCATCGCAACACTGACCAACACACACTCACTGACACACACACACACTGACTGACAGACAAACATACTCACTCACTGACAGACACACACTCACTGACACACACAATGACAGACACACACTCACTGACACACACACACACAAACATACTGACAGAGACACACAGACACTGACAGACACACACAGACAGACAACAACACTGACAGACAAACATTCACAAATCATTTTATTTATTGATCCCTACCTTTGGGAGCTGGTGTGGGGCCTCTCCCTGGGATCTCCCTACTGCTCCCTCAAGCGTGCAGTTTAGTGATGCCGGGCTGGAATGACATCATATTCTGGCACCCGTTATCACTACAGAGAGCAGTGAGGAGCAGGATGAACAGACTGAGCTCCCTCGCTGCCACAAGCGACCTTTCCTCCTGGCCAGGTAAATTTTAGCAGATGTGGGGGGAGCAGGTGCCTACTCTGCCTTACCATGTCAAACTTGCGGCTCGCTGGGCCGCAAAGATATTCATTGTGGGCCGCATGCGGCCCGTGGGCCGTGAGTTTGACATGCTTGATGTACATCATGTATCGGTTGCAGTCATTGGAAATCCACTGCAATAGCTTGGGGACTTAAATCCAAATTTTCGTTTGTACTCAGTGGTTAAGAACTACTGGCTTAATTCAAGACTGAGAATATTCAATGACTTCCTCACCATAAAGGTAGAACAGAGAAGTTTGTTCTATTGCTCACAACACACATGAGCTCAAAAAGAAAATGGCATCAGACAATCACATGCAGAAGCGTAACTAGAAACCACAAGACCTAGTGCAAGACTCAATGAAGAGACTCCCACGTTGCACCCACTGATGAGCTTCTTCACAAGCAGAACCCCAGTGCTCAGTCAGAGTAGTGACTGTGGCGACCTTGGTAGTTCTACCACTATTCACAAGGGTTCCTTTTTAGAATGTCTGGATTATTGATAAAGAAAAATATGTTGTTGGTCAAATACTAGCTAACATAATTAATAGACTGAGAATTTAAAACGTATTTTACCAGAGTAACACCTTCATGAAATAAGTCATGACAGCATAGTCTTCATTTCATAAGATTTGCCTTTATCCCGAAGAGGTTAACTGACTATCCCAGTCTTTATAAGGTTTCTGTAGCAGTCACCAAGCTGAAAGAATAAAAAAAAGTAAAACAATGTTAGTATTATTATCACTTGCTATACAAAATTTTAAAACGTTAATAAAAATTATTTGAAAAGAATAAAAAAAAGAAAGAAATCGTCTCACATGACAAATGCTTTAGTTGGTGGAAGTATATAGCTGTCTACTGTGCACAATATAAAATGGAAAAACACTTCATCACATCAAGTACAACCTTTGCAATGTATAGCACAAAGTAGAAAGTGATTATCAGTAACGATTTCAGTGTCTTAAGAGCAAACTATATTACTAACATTTACCTTACAACTGTGACGCTCAAAGCTGTCAGTTCCATGGGAAACATAACTCAGGAGAATTAATGGATTGCCATTTGTCTGTGTTTTTTTTTTTCTAAATAGTATAAAACCACTAAGACAAAACAAAAAAGTGCCTTCATCAAAACTTTTTTTCACTCCAGTAATATGGCATAAACTTGGATTTAACTAAATAAGCTTTTTAATCGTGTGAATGAGACGCATATTTTTTTTTCCTGGCTACATAAACACCAGGGCAGCACGTTTTGGATACGCAGAAAAATGCTGAGAGGGATTTTGTCTGCACCTCCCCCTTCCCTTGTGCAGCTTGTTTTCAGTCTCTAGATGTTCCTAAGAGTATTATAGTCTTGCAAAACATTCCTCATTCTATGTTCTCCTCAGGAAAAAAAAAAACTTGAGAAAAGCCACACAAGAGTTGTTTACAGCAGTGAAGTAGGTCTGTGCATTATTCTGGCCATAGACCATGCTGAACAGCTTTATTCTTTCATTTGTTGTCTGACAAACAAAGGCATTTCTGTTTTAGATATTATTTATGGTGCCCGAATAAAGAGATGTATAGTATTGCGCACTCCTATAAAACCTTGAATTAATGATAAAATCTGCTAAAAGTTACCATAGAAATGGAAACAGAATGTGTTTGAATTATTGCTGCGTGCACATTAGACCTCCCCATAGGAACCCATTGAATCAGTGCTTTCCTATGGAGAAAACTCTGACGCTGGATGTCATCATGCAGAGCGTGAGGATGTCCAGTGTCAGTTACCAGACCAAACGTCCGTTAGGATCCAGGAAGGGCCTCCAGTGGCTGTCTGGTAGAGAGCCACTGGAGGCAGACTTCTCTCTTCTCTCCAAATGCAATAGGGACACTGTACCCAGACCACTTCAATGACCTGAAGTGGTCTGCGTGCCTATAGTGTCCCATTAAGAATTTTAGGAAGCATATCTACCTGGTGTGACGTCTTACCTGGGGTCCACCAGTACCTCTGCCTCCACTAAAATCTCCCTAGAGCCGTAAGCCTCAGCAACATGACTTTCAGCCAATGAGCTAAGTGATGCATTAAAGGGCTTAGCTTGATAGAGGAAACGGAACTCCCTGCTAAGACACCATAACAGGAAGCTATAGTAGTAATGAAGCTTGGAGTGTTCCTTTAAAGGACCACTCTAGGCACCCAGACCACTTCAGCTTAATGAAGTGGTCTGGGTGCCAGGTCCCTCTAGGATTAACCCTTTTTTTTATAAACATAGCAGTTTCAGAGAAACTGCTATGTTTATACTGAGGGTTAATCCAGCCTCCAGAGTAGTGGCTGTCTCATTGGCCAGCCGAGGCGCTTTGCTGTGAAAGAAAAGGTCCAGGGAAAGCAATAATGCTTCCCTTCACGGCGCGCGCGGCTCTGCCTGCCGCGCATGCGCATTCAGCCGATGACGTCGCGAGCAAGGAGGAGAGGAGGAGTACAGCTCCCCGCCCGGCGCTGGAGAAAGGTAAGTGTTTAACCCCCTTCCTCTCCCCAGATCCCGGCGGTCGAGTATGTTTTCCTGGCACTATAGTGGTCCTTTAAGTGATGACATTTATGGGATAATTTGACACAGCAAATTCAACACCGGTAAATTCATGATAAACATACAGTTTTCAAACAACTTGCCACTAACTCAACAGTGTAATGCCACTAACACTACAAACAGCCCCTGGAGTATTCAAGAAATGTTACCACATTTATACAATTCATGGTTGATCAATTAAAGCAAAAAATTACAAATTACTGTTACACTAATATAATTTAGAAAAACTGATGACATAACATATATATCCATTTTGAAACAAAATTATCCTATTTGGGTATGCTTAAAGGGACACTATAGGCATCAAAACAACTTTAGATTAACCCCTTATGGACTGAGCCAAATGTACACATTGTGATCAAAACAAAACGTAAACAAAAACTTGAATTTGCGCTATATGTCTGTTCAGGCGTAATTTGCCTCTTTCATATTATGTGCACACACACTTATTATATATCATTTTATTCAGGGGAAACAGGGCTTTCATTTAAAATCAAATATTTAGGTATGAAAGATATTTTAATATGAATAAAATATGGGAGAAAATAAGAATTTTTAAAAAAATGTTTAGTTCTACGTGACATTCTAACTGTGAATGTCATAATACTGTTTGCTTTTACTGCAATAAAATATACATATTTATATTCAGCAATGTCTCACGTGTAAAACAGTACCCCCTATGTACAGGTTTTATGGTGTTGTGGGAAGTTACAGGGTCAAATATGGCACGTTACATTTTTCAGTTTTTTCACATTGAAATTCGCCTGATTGGACAATATAATTGTTGTGATACGTTTTACTGTTTTGAAACGCTAATATTTGTGTCCAGCGAAGTCTCCTGAGTATAACAGTACCCCTCATGTACAGGTTTTATGATGTTTTCAAAAGTTACAGAGTCAAATATAAGGCTTGCTTTTCAGTTTTTCACATTGAAATTCGCCAGATTGGTTACGTTACCTTTGAGACCGTATGGTAGCCCAGGAATGAGAATTACCCAAGTGATGGCATCCAATTTGCAAAAGTTGACAATCCAAAGTATTGCAAATGGGGTATATCCAGTCTTTTTTAATAGCCACTTGGTCACAAACACTGGCCAAAATTAGTGTTCATATTTGTTTGTGTGTGAAAAATGCAAAAAATGTATTTGAATGCCAATTTTGGCAAGAGTTTGTGACTAAGTGGCTACTAAAAAAGACTGGACATACCCCATTTGCAGTACCTTGGGTTGTCTACTTTTTCAAATGGTATGCCATCATGGGGGTAATTCTCATTCCTGGTCTACCATACGGTCTCAACGGCAACTTAACCAATCTGGCGAATTTCAATGTGAAAAACTGAAAAGCAAGCCTTATATTTGACTCTGTAACTTTTGAAAACACCATAAAACCTGTACATGAGGGGTACTGTTATACTCAGGAGACTTCGCTGGACAGAAATATTAGCGTTTCAAAACAGTAAAACGTATCACAACAATTATATTGTCCTTGTAAGTGCCATTTGTGCGTGGAAAATGAAAAAAATGTCACTTACTGACGATATCATCGTTGTAATACATTTTACTGTTTTGAAACACTAATATTTGTGTTCAGTGAAGTCTTCTGAGTAAAACAGTACCCCCCATGTACAGGATTTATGGTGTCTTGGAAAGTTACAGGGTTAAATATAGTGCTAGCAAATTACATTCCCTTGACTTTTTGGCCTGGATTGTCAGGCAGGTCCCGCAAATTGTAATTAATAAAATGACCTAATTATGTAAAATTATTATATACATATATACGTAGAATTATTATATATATACGTGTGTATATATATATATGCCTATATATATATATATATATGTATATAATTTTTTAAAATAATTTTTATTTATATATATGTATATATGGTGATAAATTACACATATATATTTTCTTTATTTTTTTTTTATTTTATTTTTTTTTGTTACGTATTTACACATATATTTATTTTTATTTATTTTTTATATTATATATAAATATATATATAATGATAATTATATATATTTAATCAATATCATTCTACGTGTATTTTGATATTAATATATATATATAATTTTATATATATATATATTCATTTTAAAATACACTTAGAAAGTGTATGTGTATTTATGTGTATGTGTGTATATGTGTATATATATATATGTATATATATATATATACTTAGATCCTATATATAATAAAAATATATATGATCTAAGTATATATGATTAAAGGACCACTCTAGGCACCCAGACCACTTCAGCTTAATGAAGTGGTCTGGGTGCCAGGTCCAGCTAGGATTAACCCTTTTTTTAATAAACATAGCAGTTTCAGAGAAACTGCTATGTTTATAATAGGGTTAATCCAGCCTCCAACTCCTCTAGTGGCTGTCCCATTGACAGCCGCTAGAGGCGTTTGCGTGCTTCTCACTGTGAAAATCACAGTGAGAACACGCAAGCGTCCATAGGAAAGCATTGTAAATGCTTTCCTATGAGACCGGCTAATTACGCGCGCAGCTCCTGCCGCGCTTGCGCATTCAGCCAAAGGGGAGGAGAAAAGGAGGAGGAGAGCTCCCCGCCCAGCGCTTGAGAAAGGTAAGATTTTAACCCCTTCCTCACCCCAGAGCCCGGCGGGAGGGGGACCCTGAGGGTGGAGGCACCCTCAGGGCACTATAGTGCCAGAAAAAACGAGTATGTTTTCCTGGCACTATAGTGGTCCTTTAAATTTTACACTGTTTTAAACAATTTAAATCTTTTTTTTCAGGCAGCAGGGGGGAGTAACTGTCATTACAGGCACTCCCCCTGCTGGTGCTGGCACTGACATGGACGGCTATGCTGTCCATGTGAACGCGAGGTCCTCGCAAGGACCTTGCGATCACATGGCCCAGGGGGGCCGAAGAGGAAGGAGGGGGACTCCCTGGGTTCCCAGGTAAGTCCCCACAACGCAATCGCCCGTGTGGGATCGCCCGCGACCGGGTAAGTACATAGGACGCCCGCCGTCCTTAAGGGATTAATGAAGCAGTTTTGGTGAATAGATCATGCCCCTGCCGTCTCACTGCTCAATTCTCTGCCGTCTAGGAGTTAAATCACTTTGTTTATGCAGCCCTAGTAAGACTTCCTACACACTTACTGTAAAGAGTCCTCTAATGTGTACATGTCCTCTATTGCATATTCTGTTTAATTTAGAATGCCTTATCTCCTGCACTGCTAATAGCTTGCTAGACCCTACAGGAGCTTCCTGTATGTGATTAAAGGTTAATTTACAGAGCAGGAGATACTTTTAAACTTTTAAAGTAAGTTACATCTGATTGAAAATGAAATCATTTTGTTTTCATGCAAGCTGTGTCAGTCACAGCCATGAGAGGTGTGGCTAGGGCTACGTAAACAGAAACAAAAAAATGATTTAACTTCTATATGGCAGATAATTGAGCAGAGGCAAGATCTAAACACTAAAACGGTTTCATTACCCTCAAGTTGATATGATGACTATAGTGTTCCTTCAAAGAAACCTACAATATCAATAATGTTTTGGAGGACAATGAGTTAATGACACACGCCACCTATTACCACCTACTCTATAAGAGGGATCAGGCAGGTCCAATCCTTCCAAAATGGATCTATTTTTTAGTATCAATCTTGAGAAAATAGGTCAGCCAATCATTTTCCGCTTGGCAGCAGTTACATTCATC